TTGAACTACTCAGTAGATCACACGCAGACCTATGAAAATTTTTCTGAAAGGGCTATTTACACGCAGAATCAAATATCGTGATTTTCTTCCTGTCAACTTTTGGATTATTCAGAGATTGGAGGCGCAATGATTTTCTGCTTAAAAGAGTGGTAATCTACATCGTTTCATATTTTTTCCTTTAATTTGCGTTTTTGCTACTTCGTCTTCTACATCATTCACTATGCTGCGCATCCGAATTCTTCTCATTTCAGTGACTATGAATTCTGGCGCGCACACAACCTCATTCGTCTGCTTCTCGAATCTATTTGCGTGTAATTTGCTCGTAGTTTAATTTCTCATATAAGAATTCAGCATTAAGCTTATATAAATAAATTCCTGATTTCCACATGACTTTCGCAAATTTTATTTTCGCTCGTGACTGTCTGAGACATTTGGTCCTCCGAATTGACAGCGTACCTATACTTCCCGTCGATTAACAGGGTAAATAACTTTTGCGACATTAAAATCAGGAGAAAGTCAGGTTTTACCTGAAAGATAGCCGGACGATACCGTCCTGGACTTCTGTCTTTATGATTAGTTCTAATTCACATTCAACGGCCAACTCTACGAGCAAAATAAGGTGACACCGATGGGCTACCCTCCGTCTAGACTAATTGCCGAAGCTGTTTTGCCAAGGCTCGAGCAGCTGGTCCTCAGCTCGTACCCCCCAAAGTTCTAGGCCAGATATGTCGAAGAAACTTCCTTGTACTCAAGAGTTGCAAAGTAAATGCTTTCAAGGCATTGTAAAATGCAATCTTTCCTGACATTCAGTTTACTGTGGAAGGGGAAGTCAACAATCAGTTGTCCTTCCAGGACGTACAAGTTAATAAATCGACAGACGGGACTAAAAGAACAACGGTTTACATTAAATACTAGGCGTATCCTACACTTCTGAAGCAACGCTCCTGTTAGTGATAAAGGCAGTTGTGTCAGAGCTCTCTTTCAACGTGTTCGAACACACTGTACCGATAACAGTGGGAAGAAGGGGGAGGCGAATTACTTGCAGGCCCTGTTTAAAGCCAGCGGCCAACCACAGTCTATTATACGCAATTGCTTCAAAAAGCCTCATTTTGAACGGTCGAGAGGAGAAACGCCCAAGTTCTGGCTGTCAATAATATATGTGAAGAACGTATCAGAGACGACGGCGAGAATCCTGACACCTTTCGGGATTGGCGTGGCTCAGAAACCAGAATGCACCATCGGACAGCAAATCATGAAGCCCAAAGACCCGCTACCAACAACAGAACAGTCGGCGGTGTTCTACAGCATACCATGTCTAAATTGCAATGCAAGGTATGTCGGTGAAACGGGCAAACGCCTCGGCATAAGATTGCACGAACACCAACTTGCAATCAACCGCAAGGACAAGCTGTCTTTGGTCTATGGCCACATACGAGAACTGAACCACAATTTTGCCTTTGAGAAAGCGAGGGTAATTGGTCGAGCCAATGAGAAGATGGCCTGACTGGTGCTCGAAAGTTGGTCCTCGACTGGTACACTCAACCGAGCTATAGATCTCCATCCCGCCTACCAAGCACTCCGTACAAGGCTCGGATCAGTCCGGACAGGACCAGTAAGGCAAGCGAGCACGCGGGACCGAGAGTCAACGCTCACGGAAAAAAGCGGAATTGGGGGCCAGAGGTCATGTGACCAAAGCCGAACACTGTCTCACCGATGCACCCGCGAAGCTGAATGCTGCTCACCTGAACAGCAACGACCGATCAGTCCACCGGCTGACGTGGGAGGGGCCAAGCGGCACGTTGATTTGATCACAACTAAGCCGACCCCAAAGGGAACAAAGGTCACGCAGGCCTATCAGCGGTCATCTCCGGGGTGATCTAAGCCAGTCAGCGGCAAACAGGCCGGTCAAAGTTCGTGCGTCCAGCACGGCTATAATACGAGGCAAGCGGCAAGGCTGAATAACTCAAGACCCGCAAGTGCAACAATTACGCTACTCTGATGATGGAAACGAGGAAGTTTCCGAAACGTCAGTTCGAATACAATATGGTCCATGGATTCGCCCTCTCTTCTTCTTCGTATTCTTCGGGAGATGATGAACGCGATACAATGTCTGGACCTCGAATCTTTACGCATATCGATATATATATATATATAGAAGAAGACGGGAAGGCGATCGCTGGGACCAATGGTTTATTTATCCGACGTTTCGAACTCTCACGCGAGCCCATCGTCAAGGAATGAAAAAACTGTACAGCTCGTCGTGTATTTAGCTCACCTCTGCCGGGGGTGACCTCTAGCTGCGCTGTTGATTTGTTCACGGAGTGCTTGATAGGCGATTGGCAGATCGATATGTCGATTAATCGCGTCCTCAGTTGAGTGCCACGCTTCCTGCAGCAGGCACGCAGAATGATTCGGGTTTTAATCCAGGATTGTCACCTCCGACTACGCAAGTACAAAGCAGCAATTGAGGATGAACAAGCGAAGTGCTCAAGGATCCTTGGAGAACCGCTGACAAATGATCTTCATCGCAGCATTTCTCTCAGTGCTAGGCGCATTCGCGATGCACGTGAATCCAAACTGAAGCAGAAGTTGACCACACTGAACGAAAAGAATGCCAGCCTCTGCTATGATAATGTTGTGCACAACCTATCTTCCAATCAACTGACAGCAGAGCAGATAAAAGTCCTGAGCCATGATGCCTGCTTCAATACGACGGATGCCCAACCTTTTGACTTCATCGCAGCTGCGGAATCTGCCATTCGTGAAGCTCCAATCACTGAGGAAAACAGAAATCTGCTACGACAGCGAATATCCTCCAGACTCATGTCCCACAAGAAACGCAATATGCTCTCGAAAGCAGAAAACGAAGCACTTCGGACTCTGAAGGCCGACAAAAGCATTGTCATACTCCCGGCCGATAAAGGACGATCGACGGTCGTACTGAACAAGGAGGACTACGTCAACAAAGTCGAGGCCCTTTTGGGCGATAGAACTGCCTACATTCCTTGTGAAGGGGATATGACGAAGACTCTAATGAGCAAAATCAACAAGGACCTGGCAAGACTTCGGAAGTCAAAAGCGATTACACGGCTTGACTGGCAGAGGATGAAACCAAAGGATTCCGCGATCGCGAGATTCTATGGTCTACCCAAGGTCCACAAACCAGGAACCCCCCTACGACCGATCGTTTCTCTAAGAGGCACACCAACGTTTGGCCTGGCTAAGTGGCTGTTCCAGCGTCTGAAATTCCTAACCCAAGGTTCTGAAACTACCATCCACTCAGCAGAACGATTCCTTGAGAAACTGCAAGGTATTCAACTTACAGATGACGAAGTGATGGTATCTTTCGACGTGGTATCACTCTTCACTTCCATCCCACAACATCTCGCGGTTGAAACTGTGCAAACCTTGTTAGAGCAACGTTATAACGAGACGGACAACAAACTTAAGATAAAACACCTTGTCGATCTCCTGAAACACTGCTTGAAGACCTTCTTCACCTTCAATGGAGCCACGTACGAACAAGTTAAAGGCACACCGATGGGGTCGCCGTTATCCAGCTTGATTGCTGAGGCAGTGTTACAGCGACTGGAGGCACTGGCTTTTGACCACTACCGACCACGATTTTGGGTACGGTATGTTGATGACACATTTGTCATCATCAATCGGGACAGGATTGGGGAATTCACGCAACATCTGAACTCGATCTTCCTAGATATCCAGTTCACGATGGAGGAGGAAAAAGATTGCCAGTTGCCGTTCCTCGACGTACTAGTCCAGAGAAAAGGCGATGGGGGACTAAAAACAACAGTTTACCGAAAGGCGACAAATACCTCTCGTATTCTGAGTTTTCTCAGCAACCACCCCCTTTCGCACAAACGCAGCTGCGTAAGAACACTCTACCGGCGGGTAGAAACCCATTGCACAGAGCCAGCCGACAAGAAGGCCGAGGCTCAGTTCCTGAAGAAACTCTTCACCATGAACGGTTACCCTGGGAATTTCGTCGAAAAGTGCAGGCGAGAAGCACAGGGAAGAAAATCGAAGGGGCAGCCGAAACCGAAGGGCTGGCGCGCAGTTCCGTACGTAGCTGGTTTGTCAGAAGAATTCGCCAGACTGGTGAGCGAATTTGGGATCGGCGTCGCGCACAGACCTGAAGCCACAATCCGCCGTCAACTCATGCAGCCCAAGGATCCGATTCCCATAAATCAGAAATCGGGGGTCATCTACCGCATAGACTGCAATTGCGGTCAGGCCAGTTATGTTGGTGAAACCGGAAAACAGGTTTGCACGAGATTGCATGAGCATGAATTGGCCGTGAGACGGAAGGATAAACTCTCTTTGGTAGCCGCCCACGCCTCCTCGCCAGGACACGCCTTTGACATTGGGAGCGTGAGAATACTAGGACAGTCAGACAACCGAGTTGCGTGCCTGCTGCAGGAAGCGTGGCACTCAACTGAGGACGCGATTTATCGACATATCGATCTGCCAATCGCCTATCAAGCACTCCGTGAACAAATCAACAGCGCAGCTAGAGGTCACCCCCGGCAGAGGTGAGCTAAATACACGACGAGCTGTACAGTTTTTTCATTCCTTGACGATGGGCTCGCGTGAGAGTTCGAAACGTCGGATAAATAAACCATTGGTCCCAGCGATCGCCTTCCCGTCTTCTTCTATGCAATTACCTGGGCCGCGCGTATTCTCTATCATTCGGAATATATATATATATATATATATATGTAGATCAGAGTTGGTATGCACTCCAAGTGGATATAATTTAAAAATAGAATGCGTTCTTCGGAAATGTCGAGTTGTACTTGTAAATTTTCGAGCTGGTGACACCAACCCGTCGTCAGACGAAATGAAATCATGGGAGAAATTTAGGTTGCCACAGTAACTAGTTGGTGATAGAACAGAAATACTGCTGACTTGTGAGTGGGGGGCTGCCGAGGTCATGGTAGGTCCCTAAATGAGTATGGGGAGAGGGAGAGAAGGCGGAACAACTACGGCGCATTTTGCTGGAGCGGGTGGGTGGGTGGTGAATCAGTTGGAATGCGGTCGGCTGCATTCACGGTCGTTGATGCGTGATTAGGGCAGGGGGCAGTCAGTCGTGAACGTAGACCCTCGTAATCGGCATCTAAGTTAACATGACGGTTGACACTACCCGCATTGGAGTACCAGACCTCGAGGAATTCTCTCGCTCGTTTTGTGTTAGCCATGGTGACGACCTCAGTGCCATCCCAATTAAATCGGTGGTCGAACTCGAATGCATGGGCAAAGACGAGGGACAGGGTGTCTCGCCGACGAATGGCTAATTTTTGTTCATTGAAACGGGTGCCCAGGCGTCGACCCGTATGGCCAACATACACGCAAGAGGAATAAGCGCATAGGATGCGATAGATTGCATTCGTTTGTTGCTCTTTGGAGATGGGATCCTTCACTCGAGATAGTGCTGCGCGTAATGAAGATGCCGGTTTGTGGGCAACGTGAATACCCAAACGGTTGAACTGTCGGGCGATTATTTCAGAAGTTCCACGCATATAGGGCAAGGAGTAGAACTTTCGTGTCATAATCTCTCCGTTGTGGGTGGGGTTTTGCGACTGTGTCTGGTGTCTGAGGCAGTTGGGTATGACTGGCTGGAGACGGCTAATAAGCCTGAAATGGCCATTTCCGCCTCCCCTGTCTTTGTCGGTATTGCCGTTCTACAATCGACTTTTACCGCCCTCTCTGTCCCCATACAATTACCTCACACGTCGACCTGGTAGGTCACTTGCGAATTTATCGCACAGAGACTGGCGAACCAGTGCCTGGAGCACCCATATACACTCAACGCATCCGCCTCAGTTACCCTCACCGCACCCGTACATTCACACACCGCATGGGCCTATTAGGCCACAGGCGCATTCAACTGCCGCTTAACCACACCATCACATCTTCCCACACCTGCACCACACAACATAATCACCTACCACAAGCATCCAATTGCGACTTCCCAAGCAAGTGGGAAGAGTACTTCTCGGCTACCTTTCCATGCGGCCTTTTTGCTACATGTGTGATTCGAGTCAGAGGCTATCACGGCGCGTTTAGCACTGTGGATTGAAAGGCTACCGACTGACGTCCCAACTCAGTCCATGCAGTCAGTCTAGTTGAGTGCGCGTTTGTGGCAGACGGGTGGACTGAGAACCAGGCTAAAGCGGATCCTTCCTTGCGTGACCTACGATACTCTCACGCATGTGTGATGTACGCCACCCCACCCCTGTTGTGCCAAATCCTGGTGCTTTTATTTGGGGGAGGGGGCGTTGAGCAGGCCGTGTATGTTGCGCGCGCAGACATGGTCACTAGACAACGTCAGCCACCGCACCCATTCCCTGCCCCAGTCTGCTGATCGGCTCGGACAGTGGCTGGGGCATTGGAATGGGAAGGAAGAGTGAGGTCGACGACTCAGCGCATTTTCCTCATAATAAATAACCTAACGCATCTGAAACAATGCGGGTGAGCCGAAAGCCTTGGCTTGAAAGATTGCCAACTTACGGTGTAGCATGGACCTTGCAGGCGGCCCAGTAATGCGTGCTTACGTGGAGTGATCGGCTGGTGGTCTGAGTGCCAGGCTGCAATGGCTTCTTCCTGATGTGTCCTTTATGACACTACCACTCCGAGAGACCCGAGCCAAGGTGCGACTTTTGCCGCGCCAGCTCTTTTTGTTGTTGGTCAAAATTCTGGTCCAAGGTATGTTGTAAAGTGCGTGACCGATCTCATAAAATGTTGGCCGAAATTCTGAAATGTGTTTTCGATTAGGAAGGATTACTTAGGAGGGGTTTTAATACTGATTAGCGTGCAGGATACTCCTATAGCATTTCGGACTCAGCAGAATGTCGGCTTTTGGATGCACTCCGATTTGACCTTCTGCAGAAATTGCGATCTGCAAAAAGTGACTTCTTATGTAGCATACATGTTTCGTATTTATTTCCGATGGTTTTACAAATTCAAGAATAGTTTATAGAAAACGTACACAAAAATATGTCTTCTTACACTCGTTCTGTAGAAAATCAACCTGTCTTCATATTTTATACCCGATGAAAGTGTATATTCAAGTTTTCAAACAGTTTTGCAGTTCCCGGATAATTTTGAGCCTGATCTACCATTGCATCAGCTTTTAGCGATTTCTGTCTACAAGGTGCATGCTTTCCGCATGAGGAAATGCTATAGGATTATGCCGCCGCAAGCTAATCAATTTTGCACTCCCACCTAAGTAATCCTTCCTAATTGAAAACAAATTTCAGAATTGCGGCCAACATTTCATGAGATCGGTCACGCACTGTAGAAGAGGGGGGTGTGGAGTGGAGCGCCTAGGTGCGACCTCGACCTTGCCATCCACCTGCGTCCTCCGCGTCTCCGGTCTTCCTGGCTTTGTCTCGACACCGGATCCAGGCCGGGGAGAAGAGGGTGCTGCAGATGCTTTGCAAGTCTACATTCACTATAACCTGAATCACACGAAGTCACTCTGCCTACTCTCACCTTTGCTGTGGAGCGCGCGGTGGAAATCGTCGCCAACGACGATCGAATTGTCGAAGGCAAAAGGCGGTGTTCTTAATAGGGGAAGGGGTTGGACAGCATTTTGGTCAAATTCCCCGTAATTACTGGTTGCCACGTGCTGACGACTGACCTCAGCATCCTAGGTGACGCAGTTCGGGAATACGTGCGCACTAAAATCTCGAACACTAGAAAAAGTTATTTGACTTTAACAGAGACAAGAGAGGGGACTGGCTGATCATGGAAAAGCTCAGTTATTCGACCATCTACTGTCTGCATGAATGTCAGCAGTGTTCATGCGGAAAGACCACGTTGGTTACTGGGTTGGGGCAGACGTCCTGCAGCACTTGCGATGCAAGTTATCTTCACATGTTTTTTTTAAAAGTCGAGTTTGGTAACCGTATGCTGTCGTTTATTCATGATCGGGCCTGTACAGTAATTTAAGGGGGAGTGTGGAGAAGCAGGAGTTAAACAGCCACTAAATTTTAGCAGGATAAATCCGATCGATCTGTATGTCTCGGAGGCACGTACACTGTTACTGCATGACACAGCTATTAGAGGGCATTGATGATGATGATGATAATGAGCGGGAAAGCTATATTCTCGATCAGGGTAAAATCTTTCATTTTACACTGAAGGCACCTTTTAGATTCTAAATAATTTGCATTATCTTTCGGAAAAAGATAAACAACAATGGTAATCGTCGCTGAGTGCATTCCTGGACAACCTATCAACAGACTTCTCTCTAAGTGACCACTCGAAAGGCATTTTCTCCCACCTATTCTGGTCATAGGTTGGTCAGGAGGGGGATGAGATTTGGAACACAAAAAACCAGCTATTTTTGGCGCAATCGTAAGTAGGCATTAGGCAATCGACGAGGAATGCATTAAAGCGCGACTTAAGCCAAATCTTAAAAAGTGAAGAAAAATGACTATTTTTAGCGCAATCGTACGCAGGGATGGAAAAGGCTGGCTGGCCGAATCCTGGGTATGTTGGTCCTGTCCACTGTATCTACAAGCCTGACTGAAGCAGGTGGGCACTTCGACGACAGGGAAACCTTTGTAATAATGACAATAATAACAGCAATAATTATGGTAAGTATAAGCTTGCAGAGATTAGTTAAGTAAATTCAGAGTACGAATCAAGCAATGCGTGAAGAAATGCCCCTATACAATTGGTTTGCTTTGGGTAATCAGGTTTATTCAGGATAAAAACTGCACTCAGAGAAATGACGGCAAACTGACTAAGGATATTTGCCAGGGGTTTATTGACATAGTGCGGTCTTCATTAGCTTTCATGAAACTGGGACCTTGCGTCCTACAAGGAAACACGAATAAACAGTTGCTCATCGTCAGATGAGGAAATTACTGGCTGGGTTGCGAGTTGCAGATTCAGCGCCATGCAACGTTAAATGAGGCCATGCAAATAGAGAGATAAATAACCAGGCATCCCGTCATTATGGGAGGTGATTTCAGTGCATTTGTTATGCAGAACTTGTGGAAGTTGTTCTAAATGAGTAAAGCGAGTACTATGTTGTTTAAACAAGGAATAATTTTATGAACTCTTTATGCTTATGTCGGGAAAAAACGGACGGCATTTAACTGTGCTAAAGGGACGCTCACCAATCGTAATAACGGAACTCACTCGTTCCATTGTGCCTTACGAACTCTCTCTCTCGAGCCTAACCAGCAACCGTACAGCGATGCATAATATAGGCAGAATATTATTAGGGAAAAGGACAAGACAGTCTCCCTTGTCATGCGGTGGCATGGCGACTGCATCCTATAAATGCTGCAGTCCCTTGTGCGTGAATCACCCTTATCTGCTGTTGTCTGTGATGATGGATTCGATCAAAAATCCGAAAAGTCAGGCTAATAAAGCTCTTGCCCATACGATCGGGTTTCCCTCTTCAAGACTCTTTCCTAGGACACGTCTCTTCGCTTCTATTGGCAGCCATATCAGACTTGCACGGCATCTACCACACTCTCCCTTCCCCACTCCCCACCTGGACTCCGCATCGAGACAGAACCAAGTAGATTGGCAGCGGGGGAGGGCGCTAGTGGCAGATACGGCCGGACCCGCATCATAGCGTGCACCACACCGCCCTGGTCCACAACACACATAATTAACCAAGATTTTTCATAAGCAACAACACGTCATAAGGGGTCAGAAGGACGAGAATGATGACTGAGCAATCATGCCCACCACCTGTATACCCAGCATGCGCATCTGCATCCTTCTTAATGTGGTCTCCCTGGCACCTGCAGTCTGTGGGATCAAAACCGTCCACCTCCCCAGTTGCTGAGTTAAATGCTGGTCGGTGTAGGGTGGTGCGGTTCTACGCCACTACGATTTTAACTAACGCGCAAGTCAGCGACCCTATTTCCCCTGGTGTAGCAGCACAAGGATGACAGCGTCGACAACGCTGGTTCATCTTTCATGTGTCTCGGGGGAAGATTAGTCATACGCTTTATTCCCACGCCGAATACACGACTTAGTCAGCGTGTTTAGGCTGTTGGAGCTGGCGGAATGGTCGAGGTTAGGCGTGGATGTTCTCAGGGCACTGGGCAGCGTGCAATCACAAACTGGGTTCGGCCAGGCGACAGACTGTCTTCTGGTAATTGAAAGCTGGATTTGCTGACCGAATCCTTATCATTCGGCTGCTGCTAGCATCCGTTTGGGTAGGACTTTAGAATACTTTGTGACTTGGCAAGGGCATGATATGTAGCACTCTTAGTCACATAGCTTCATAGTGCTTGATTAAATCGCAGGGTGTCTGCATTACGATGACAATACAACTAACTCCAGCACACCTGCTTAGATTGGGTGTGGTTTAAAGCAATTACCATGAAGAAACTGACGTGTGCTTACGTGGAACCAGTCAAACTCGTTACGATGAAATCACATCTTCCCAGCAGGTACGATGCGTGACGCAAATGAGCGTTGACAGCAATGACAGGAAGGTGCTGTTTCCGCTGAGTGCCTGGGGCAGTTGTTACCAGCGATGACG